GTATTTCAAGTTTGAGGCCAGCCTGGACAATTTAGTGAGAACCTGTCTTAAAAAAAAAGAAAAAAATCAGAAGCCGGACATAGTACAGTCCCACCATTCTCAGAAGCTGAGGTAGAAGAACACCAAGTTTGAGCTCAGGCTGGGCAATTCAGTAATTTAGCAAGACCCTGTCCCAAAAAAATTTAAAGGGCTGGAGATAAAGCTCAGTGCAAAGACCACGGGTTCAATTTCCAGTAAGGAAGGGGAAGAAAAGAAAGGAAGAGAGAAAGAGAGAAAGAGAGAAAGAGAGAAAGAGAGAGAGAGAGAGAAAGAAAGACAGACAGACAGACAGAAAGGAAGAAAGAAAGGAAGGAAGGAAGAAAAGAAAGGAGAAAAATATTTTAATACATTTTATTTAACTCAACATATGCAGGGCTGACTAGCGGTACGCACATGTAATCATGGGAAACTCTTGGAAAGCTGAGGTAGGAGTATTGCGAGTTAGAGACCAACTTGGGCTACATAGAAAGACCCTTCTCAAAAACAAAATTAAATATATTCTTTACAACATAGAATATAAAAATATTTATATGATATTTTATACTTCTTAAATGTTAAACCTAACACCAAATTTGGTAATTTTTTTTTGAGACAGAGTCTTGCTATGTAGTTCAGGCTGGCTTCAACCCACTGCATAGCCCAGGCCAGCCTTAAACTTGCAGTGATCCTTCTACCTCAGTCTCCTGAATGCTGGGATTACAGGTGTGCATCACTATGCCTGGTGTGGTGTTTAATTTTCTTAGAACATTGTAGACTTCTCCTTGTCTTCTAGTGTAGTATTCATTTACATTTACAAAATGTCTCAACTTGGGCCATCCACTTTTAGTGCATCTAATAAGTAGGTGTGGCTCTTGGCTTCTGTATTGGACAGAATAGTTATATAAAGTAAAAGCCACTAACATTTACCAAGGGCTTATTATGTGCGAGAGACTTCTCTAGTCTATCAGATGGAGATGATAACTTCTTCAGTCTCACAGTAACTCCATCAAGTGGTTGTGTATTCATCATTCCCACCTGCACACGGAGCTGTTGCAATAACACCGCCATGAAAATTTGGGGGCATTTATAGCCATTTTCCTAATGTGACAGGGAAGAAGTCTTGTCACAAAAGCTTGAATGAATGGGGAAGTGAAAGAGTTGGAGAGAGTCTAAACGCTTGGTGGTGAAGAAGCAAAATCAACAGACTGAGTGAAACATGAAGGCAGAAAAGTTTTTTTTAGGGTCAAGGACATGAAGATGTAAACTGAGCAGGAAACAGGGAGATGAAAGCTAAAAGGATTATGGCTGAGGATTTGGATGGGCCAAACCCTCTGCAAGAGCAAAAACTTTATTGGAGAAATTGCCTGACCTGTGCTGGAGACCAGGGTGTATGCCACAGCTTTCCAGAAGAAAGGAGAATGTGAGAATGATCCTGTAGTTTTCTTCATGGACCAAGGCTGTGGCAAAAGCCTCTTACCTAGTGTTTCTTTGGCATCAGGCACTGATTATGTATTTTGCGTGCTTTCTAATTTAGTCCTGTCAGATTTCCCACATCATGTTTGCCATTTCACAGATGTGCAGGCCAAGGCAAGATCAATGCCCCTAGGTCTCATTGCTAATAGTAGAAGAGTCAGGATTTGAGCCCAGGTTGTTTCAGAAATTAGAATAGGAAGGAGAAATGTTTTATAGTTAGATTTTATTGGTATATTTTAGATATACATAATGACACATTCATCATAGAGAATTTCTACCCATACATGATATATCTTGTTTTTTCCCGTTCCCCTACCCTCCCTTCAACCTTTCCTCCCCTCCCCATTTGCAAAGCTTTATTTCCATGTTTTCCTTCTTTTCTCATTTTCATTTACTTTTCCCTTCTTTCCTTTCCCCCATTCCCTTGTTCCCCTTGTTCCTCTCTCCATGTGAACATTTAGGAAGGAGAAATGTTGATGTGGGGCCGGAACAAGGGCAGGCGGTCCAGGTTGTATCAGATGGGTAGACATCAGGCTCCTCTGCAGAAAGTGGGTTGGGGGAGGTAGGAACTGGGTGTGGGTGGCTGGGCAGATATGGAGTAAGAAGTAAGCGACTACAAATGTGTGAGCTATCAGGCATCTGGCTATTCCCTTGCCCGTGATCAACCTCTAGTCTCTGATAGAGCTCAGCAGCTTGGCTGGAAAGTGAGGGACAGAGAAGGGGAAGGGCTGGGGCACTGAAGATGGGGGAGGTGGACATCAGGTTTGGATGAGATTGCACAGCTGTCTGCAGGTGAAGAGAGGAAGCATGGGTGTATGGTACCAGCCCTGGGGGATGGCAGTAGGGGGAGAGGTGTGAGAGCTCGGGAAAGGCAGAGCAGGGGAGATGATGGCACAGGAGACTGGAGTGGAGAAGGAAACGCTGATGCTGAATCTAGAATGCAGTGGCAGGCTGAGAGACTCCCTGATGGTGACAAATTCTTCTCTTAAAAATTAAGAGGGAGGAGGCCCTAAGGAGAGTGGAAATAGAGGACGCCAAGCAGGGCATAAATATCTACAGAATGAAGGAAGAAAAGAAGGGAGTTACAGGACAGGAAAGTGAGAGAAAGAAAAACACACGAAGAAGGGTGAAAGTAGAAACTCCTATCACCCAGCACACCCAATGCCTCAACACCGCAGCTGTGGGTACCATTCTGGGGAGAGTTGCTACAGCAGCCTGGATACAGGAGTAAGAGTAGAACCCCGTCCAGGGCAAGACCACTGGGCTGTGCCAGCTCAACCCAGACTGAGACCAGATCAAGCCCCAATCACCTGTGGCCTATTTAATTTGTAAAACGCAGTTAATGACAGACACATGGATGTCAAAGCATTGCTCAAACATTACAACAAAGGAAGGTGGTGTTATTAGAGAGGTCTATCCATTTAGATAGAAACACGCATGAATGAAAATAGATGTGCCCAGAGGAGAAGCAAGTCTGGAATGGTCTGGAAGATTATAAACCCCTCTCCATTGCTGCCCAGCCGCCTTTGAGGGCTGGAGAGGCAGGAGCTGGGGCTGGTCCAGCGGGATTCACCCAAGGGCTAGGAGAGCAAGGCCTTGGGGCCAGGTTCAACTGGCGTTAGCTCCTGTCTCCTGTGTCACAGACCCCAGCACTAGATCCTTACTTTGCAGAGTATAAAACCAGACAACATTTATCCAGTTGATCGCGCGTCCCCGCAGGGAATTTGCTCCAGCGAAATCTCCATCATCTCTGTCCCTACAGAACGAAAATCTCCTGGTTCTTTGCTTCTGCCCCGCACCCTCGGACTTTTGGGTACTCTTCCAGAAGGTGCTTCGAGGACAGGGAGGGGCAAAAGAGGAGAAGAAAAAAATAGGGTATTGGGGGGAAAAGAAGCCGAAGAACGGGGAAATAGCCAGAGACAGAAACTGGAGAGGTGGGTAGACCACCACAGACAGCCCGAAAGATCCGAGAGATGAGTCGGAGATGCGGGCGCTGGCCTCCCATTCCGTAGCAATTCCTTCACCAAGGCGTTTCTGGGGCGTTACGGCGGTGCCCGGCCCCGGGTTGCCCAAGACGCGAAGGGCTCCCGGGTGCGGTCCCTTGGCCTCCTCCTCCTCCTCCTCCTCTTGCAGTTCTCTCCCCACCTCGCCCAAGGGGGCCGGAACGGCGTCGGCGCGCGGGGGCTTTTCGAAGCAGTGGAGTGGAAAATAGACTTTAACCCGCTTTGTAGCTGCGAGGGCCCCCGGAGCGCTCTCTCGGACGCCGGCTCCCAGCGCTCTGACCGGCCACTGCCAAGACGTGGCCTGGAGTCCCGCAGAGTTGCGTCCTGTGAAGCAACACACACACACACACACACACACACACCCGTGTTTCAGCTAGGATCTGCACGCTGGGGTTGTGCTCGGGTCATTCGGAATGATCCTGGCAGCAATGAGAAAGCGGAACCGCAGTCTGGGACCCAGCCTCCCCATCACTGCCCAGAGCCCTCTTAGGCCCCGGCGCTGCGTCTTCTTGCGGCCTGGAAAGCCCGAGTGAAAAGTTTGTGGAATACTGGTCCTCACTGCCGACAGCCCTTTCACTTGCGGGGTAGCAATGAGTGCATGAAATGGAAACTGACCAGAGCAGACCTGTCCGCTGCTCCGCCGTCGCGGTTGGAAGGTGAAGGTCGGGGAGTCCAGGCTGCTGCTGCTGTCCCAGGCGATCGGTTCATCCTCTCGGGGACCAGCTCGAGCCACTGGGCCAGCTTGAATTCAAGGCACAATGTCCTCCGAGGCACCAAACGAACTTGAGCCCCATCAGTAGAGAGGGCAAGGAAAGCAGATCACCCTGCGCCAGGGCCCAGTGTCCGGGTCTGAGCCAGTGGTAGCCGGATAAACGCGGACTGCTTGGAGCGCAGCGCGCTGCTGCCGGAGGGCTGCGGGATCCCGCGACTTTTCCCCGGCCGAGCCGGGCTGATTCCTCGAGAAAAGAATGAGCGTACCCTTTCCGGAGCTGTCCTTCCCGACAACCAAAAACCGCGAAACCTCGTGAACGAGGCTCCAGCTTCAGATCGCTCTCAGGAAACCGACGCTGGGTGAGCAAGAGGGTGCCTCAGGTCCGAGGAGCAAGAAGTTGGTTCAGGAGAACCGATTTGCTCAACCCCAAACACCCATCCTACGTTGGGATCCAAATTCTCTAAGAATTGAAACAACATCCCGGGACGAAAGGGAGAGGGTTCAATTGGATTGCACAATGAGGAGAGGCGATGAAGTTTCTACCCAAAGTCCCAGGCTCTTTAGACGCCTTCTGCGCGCGAGCGTAGGGTGAGACGGCTGCGGCAGCCACCAGACTCAGCAGAAGGGCGGAGTCGTGAGGAGAAGCGGGGGTGCGTCGGCAGTGGTGAAGGTGGCGGTGCTGGGGTAGATCGTCCCCCAAAGGTTCCAGTCCGGCTTTTGCCTACGACTGCAAGCTCCCTCCCTACCAGCCCCCCCACCGTCCCTTGCCCCGCCCCACCCCGCCCCCACCTTGGGGCAGGTGAGCGGCGGCCAATGGGCGAGCGCGGGGCAGGTGCCCGCTAACTCCAGCCAAGCAGCGCAGTGGCCAAGGCCCGGCGGGGCATTGCTGTGAGGATCGCGGGCCGGGGTCGACCCAGGCTACACTTGGAAGGGAGGGAGCGGGGCTCAGCCTTCGGGCCGTAGAAGCAGCTAGCTGTATCGCAGGCAGCGTGCGAGCGCCGGTGCCCGCGCCGGGAGCTCCCCGCTCGGCCGCAGGGGCCGACGCTCCCGGCTGTGCGCGGTGGCTGGACCCCGCGCCGCGGGCTAGCGTGCCCCTCACTGCCCGGCGCCAGGCTCGCCGGCGGGGGCCGATCGCGGGCGGGAGGGCAGAGGAGGTGAGGGGTGCGGGTGTGTGTGCATGTGCCTGGCTGGGTGCACACCCCGCAAGGCGGCAGCGCCGGCACGCGGAGCGCTCCCCAGAGCCCCGCTGTCTCGCACGGCTACGGCGGGCGCGACCATGTTCCAGCCCGCGGCCAAGCGGGGTTTTACCATCGAGTCCTTGGTAGCCAAGGACGGTGGCACCGGCGGGGGCACTGGCGGCGGGGGCTCGGGCTCCCATCCCCTGGCGGCGGCCGCCTCAGAAGAACCGCTCCGGCCCACGGCGCTCAACTACCCTCATCCCAGCGCGGCCGAGGCAGCCTTCGTGAGCGGCTTTCCGGCCGCAGCCGCCGCGGGCGCCGGCCGCTCGCTCTACGGAGGGCCAGAGCTCGTCTTCCCCGAGGCCATGAACCACCCCGCGCTGACTGTGCACCCGGCGCACCAGCTGGGCGCCTCCCCGCTGCAGCCCCCGCATTCCTTCTTCGGCGCCCAGCACCGGGACCCTCTCCACTTCTACCCCTGGGTCCTACGGAACCGCTTCTTCGGCCACCGCTTCCAGGGTGAGTGCCCACGCTGTGCCCGCCGGCGCGGGCTGCGGGCATCCGTGCCGCGAGGACGCGGGGGAGGCTCGGGGGCGCGCGGGGCTGTTGAGAAGTTGCTGAGAAGGGTGCGGGTCCGCGGAGGTCGGTTCCCAAACGCCGTAAAGCCTCGCGGGATCCGTCTGCGCTCTGCCGCGTGGGTCTTCCGCCCAGGGAGCTCGGCTGGAACCTCCAGGCTTTCCCAGGAATGAGACTGTTTCGGACGCCAAACCCAGGCGCATCCTTGCAGCCAGCCACTCCTGTCCCTTCTCGGCCGACCTATGCTCTCTCGCGATTAAGCCAGTCTCAGCCCAGAGAGCTCAGGGCCCGCTGTCCTCCCACGCCCTGGCTTGAGCCGGGACCATACTTTGCTCTCACATTCATCATCAACTTCCAGGGATCAGCCTTCGCTAATGCATCGGAACAGGGTAAAGTCCACCTGCGTGTCCGGCCCGGTGGGAAGCAAGGCAGCGGGCGGAGCGAACCGCAGAGTTAATGTTCAGTATGGAGTGCTCGGATGTCTTGGGATGTTTCTCTGCCACCTTGGCCAGATTTCTTCAAGTCACACGCGCCCCTCACACCCAGGCTGAGAAAGGTTTGAAATAAGTGAACTGGCTTCCTCCATCGATGGCCGTCTCGGGGAGCCCACTCTGCTGCTGCCAGACCGAGGACAGTCCTCCTGAGCAGGGGGCGTGGGCAGAGGGCTTTTAAGGTCGTAGCCAGTCCTAGCCCCCTAGTCTGCACTGGCAATGGGTTTGCTAGTTCAGATCCCCCATAGTCCTTACACACTCGCGCGCGCGCGCGCGCACACACACACACACACACACACACACACACACGAATTATCTGACTTTCCCAAACAAGAGTTGCATTTGTTGGAGTTCGGTTTTTTCCTTGAATCTGTTGGATTCTTTCTTTCTGTTTCTTTTCTGGCCTTGATTTATACCACAATTGCTTTATTTCCCAATATTATTTTGTTAGTGTAGACTAGACCTGAGACATATGAGGTTCCATTGCTCGGAAGGAGCTAGGTTATTCGGCTTTGAGTAAAGCGATGAAAAGAACAACACTCGGGCTTCCCCTCCTGGAGCTAATTTGATGGTGAGCAAAGTGTATACAACCAAAGTAAATTAGATGTTTGGTACAATTATTTACACAAAAAAGAAAAATTGCTTCTTAAAGCTTTGTCTATAACTGCTTGACAGAAGCAGCTGCTTTCCGAGGTCCAATTTTCTCAGTACCACCTGGCCAATAGAAACTTACCTGGAGGATCCCATGGATCCAGAGAAAGTAATTACTTTGAACAAGAATTTTTGTGGGTAGACTTCTGTGGGATTTCGAAGGTTTTTCCAAATCCAAATCCAAAAAAAAAAAAAAAAAGAAGAAGAAGAAGAAGAAAAGGAATGAAATACAATGTTCGCCACTTTGGAAAAAGTTACCGTCACTTAAAAATAAAAATTTACTGATAAAATGAAGTTTCATTCGAATTTACCCCCATCTCAAACGGTATCAATCCTTAGTCTGGGTCTCAAAATCTGTGCCCACAGGCAGAATTTGAGCGTTCGCAGTTCGTGAGCCTGCGATGGGTGGGTAGGGAAGTGGTAAGGGGACAGGGGCTCGGAGGCGAAGGGGTGGCAAGTCCTAACCCCTGCCCAGCCGCTTTGCTTGACCAGAAGTGGCCACCCGGGCGCCACGCTCCGCTTCGGATCTCGGATCCCGAATACCCTGCTCTCTGCACCACCTTTTGCACCTCCGGCCTCTCCCGAGTGGGCCAGGGTCACGGAGGGCAGCAGACGCCGTGGAAGAGATCCAGCTCTGGTTCTCGGCATCCCCAGCCAGGTGAAGCAGGATAAATTCTCGGCAAAATGCCCTAGGAAATTGTCGCTGTTCCCTGCGCCCTCAGTCCCAGCGGGTACGTTGTCGAGTTGCACAAACACTCAGATTTTTCTCTCAAGAACCATATCTGGACGCGGAGATGGAGCCAAGTGTGGCCGTATTCTCCCGCTCAGAAATACGGTGGGTACCGAAGGACTTTTCAAACCCTGAGGTACTGTAGCCAGTCATCTCGGCAGACCGAGCGCGTCTCAGCGGCTTTGCATCCTCCAGTCCCGGCCGGGCTTCTGGACTGAGAGCGGAGCCGTCCCAGGGCCTCCGGCGCCGCGTTTTCTAGAGAACCCGGTCTCTGCGATGCTCTTTTCAGCCCGTTTTAAAGCAAGAAACGAAACCCTACCCGAACGAAAAGGAAACGTGTCTGCGCTTTGCGCGTTGCGCTCTCAGGCTGTGAGGTCCTGGCAGGCTGGGAAGCCGCTTCAACACTAGGCGAGGCTGTGGAAGAGGAAAAGCCAGTGCTAAAGATCAAGACCTCCAACCCCCGGGCAGCTCTCGAGGCCCGTAGGAGAGGAACCCGCGAAGAGCGAGATTGGCTGCCTTTCGGTGCTATTTCCTGGAGATCAAGAACTTTCTAGGGCCAGACAGCGGTTCTCAGAGGAGGCCGTGAGAGACCTAGCCCTCTCGGACTAGCGATGGTAATGGGCCGAGCTTCAAAGGGTGCTTTTGTTCCGGCAGGAGGGAGGGGAAGGAGGTAATCTCCGTTGCCTGGCCTGCCTCTCCCAGTCATAGCCCCAGGCCCCTCCGCCCTGTAATCCAGCCTGAAGCCCGTGGCCGGCCCCGGCCTCTCTAGAGGCCTTCCCTTCAGCCCAGGCCGCTTTGGACCCTTGGCTCTCGCTTCCTGCCACCTTATTCCTGGAAGTATCTATTGCTAGTTCCCAGACAGCTATTGCCTTGAAGAGGCCCGCAGAGGCTGTAGGAAAACCAGTGGGGTGGGGAATGTTCAGTTCCTAACTCCAGGGAAGGCTGTGACCGTCCCTTTCCACTTTTCTACTTGTGCTAGTCCGAAACTGACAACACATTCTCACAGCGTGGAATTACAGCTGTCACCCAAATAGGCTGCACCCCAGCTACAAGCTTGTTTGACCCTTGTGGTCCAGCCTTGGGAACTGAAGGGAAGGCATGGCTGGAGGTGGTAGGATTGAAAGAACATTTCCTGCAGGTTAGAGTAAAAGGGGCCCAGGTAGCTAGAAACTTAAAGCGCTCTTGTCCTTTCAGAAACAAATTATCAATTGACCAGCACGTTGGGGCTGTTAGTTTTGTACTAAACTTTCTCCTTCTTGATGAGAAAAGCCCTACTTCTTTTGGAATCAAATAACCTATCATCGTTTATCAGCATTTTGGATAATTTCCCAACCTCCTCCTTCTTCATGTTGGCTTAAAAGGATTGCTGTGTTCCTGCACGCAGATGGGCACCAAGACAGGACATTACAAGGAACCGGGACCTTTCTTTCAGTGAGGTTTTCCCCAAAACTAGCCAGACTGAAGGCAAGGAGAGCGTATGTCAGCACAGAGCTTCTTGGTGCCATCCTTCACTCTGGGTTTATGAAAACACAGAGCACTCCACTCCACCACACAGGTGACTGACACAAAACAACCATTAAGGAGGACATACCACAGCACAGTGCAACCCTGCGTTCCCAGCCCCACACATCCCCAACACCTCTGCACCCCACTCACTCACACCTGTGGGGCCTTTCTGTGCTTATGTCACACTGCTGACCAACTTAGGCCAGCTGGCAGCTAAAAGAAAACACGGAATGCTGAGATGAGCTAGGGTTTTTTTGTTTTGTTTTTTTTTTTAATACTCTTTCCTTCTCTGGTTCATCTGTTCAGAGGAAAATACTGTGGAGACGTCAGCGGGACTCAACAATGTTGTTTTCTGAAGTAATTCATTTTAACAGGAGTAAGAAGCTGCCTACATGCCTTCCCCACCTTTCCTTGTCTTTAGTCTTTACCCCCAGAATTTCAATCCTTTGTTGTCCCCCTGAACAGACTTTATTTTTCTCCACTTAGCCTTCTGTGGCAGAATACCTCCCTTGACTCTGTCCTTCCACCACCCCACTTAAACTTTTCTTCAGTCAGGCCTTGGGGCCTGCTGCATGTTGAATAGCTCGGTGGGCACTTGTCCCTCTGTCACTTCCCTGTGATATCATCCCACCCCCTTTTGTAGCAGCACAAATCTAGCTGCCTGAAATGGAGAAGGTGACTGGAGGTTAATGACTTTGTCTCCCTGGAAGCAGCAGCCCCTCAATCCTTAGCATTCACGTTCCACCGCAAATCCCAATAAAATTAGCCAGCATAAATCTTTAAAGCCAAGAGACTTGGAGAAAGTAAAGTTAGGCCGGTTCTACCAGCAGAGAGACACAGTTAGCTGGAGAGTGTTAGCAATAGCATCTCCATGATGTGTTTCTACTTCACTGACATAGATGTTTCCAGAGATGGGAGAGCGTGACTGAATTGTCCAGATCATTGTGTTAAGAGCAAAACAGCAGGTCAAATTGAGTCAAACCAGTAGCCATCTCTGAAGAAATTAATTGGATCAGTCAATCTCAACAGCTAATTCTTGTCAAAACATTCCATCTAGGGCTCCGTGTTGTTGGTGGGTCAGGGGGACTGTTACATGCCACTGTGTGAGAAACCACAGGCAATATTGTCAAGGCTTGTTTCGGGTCTATGAACATGTACAGCTAAGACAGAAATCATGTGAGGGCCCAGTGTGTGTGTGTGTGTGTGTGTGTGTGTGTGTGTGTGTGTGTGTTGAGGGGGGTTGCTGTGACTGGGGCAGTGAGTACATGCCTGTTTTGGGCCTTAATACTCCCTGACCACCACTCCAGCCTCATCCAATCCTACTGAGTGTGGGAGCTGGGTCCAACATTTGCCAAGGGACAATCACACTTCAATAATCCTATACAATAAATGAGAGAGAAAGACAGTAGGGAGGCTGTAGCATACACATGCTCATCCAGAAACCTATGTATGTGTGTGTGTATATATGAGAGAAAGATGACATCTAGATACTAGTTTTCATGTTCCTTGAGTATGGGACTATTCAGGGGTGAAGTGCGTTCTTTTCTCACCGGGAGCAGCAAGAATCTCCTGTGAAGACTGGGTTTTAGCCTAGTAGCTGGGCCTCCAGACAGTTTAAAGACTGGGGAGAGAGAGGTGGGGAAGAGGAAAGAAATAGCCCTAACTTTAGATTTCCAGGGGCTGCCTGAAGGGTTGATCTAGCTTTTGCTCTACTTTTACCTATCCTAAGACAAATTCTGGGCCTGTTGGCAGGAGTTCTCAAGGGGCTAATAGCCAGGGCATTTTGCTGCAAGACTAGTTTAAGCAGGTGTGAAGGGAGAGTCCTAGCTTCTAGTTTCTGAGTCTGAATCTGATTGCTTCCCTTACCACCGGACACCCAGCCCTGCCTATACTCCCCAACCTCCTGGAGAGAGATGCTAAGCGGCCAGTTCATTAAAAACAAACCGTTGGGGGCCAAGGAGGAGGCTGGGCAAGGACAACCAAGGGTCTTTTGCCACCCCTCGGCCTCGTCGGTTGCTCCAGGGAGTGTGGATTTGGGCAGAGGGACGCTTCACCAGGCCTGGGCTCACCTCTTGGTCGAAAAGAGTGAGCTCTGGGATTCCGTGCGTCCCGGGCCTATACGGGGAGATGTTGGGAAGCGGGGCAGACTTAGGCAGTAGAGGGAAAAAAGAGAAGAGGACAAGGTGTCAAGACTGGAGAGAGCCGCAAGTGCTCTGGGGGCGCGGGAGCCTGGCGGGAGGCCGGACCTGGCCGGCTCCCCAGGCTGCGGCTCACGGCGCTCCTTCTCTCTATCTGTACCCGCGTGTGCTGCCGTCGGCCGGCCGCGGGCCGCAGCTAGTGACGTGCCCCAGGACGGGCTGCTTCTGCACGGCCCCTTCGCGCGCAAGCCCAAGCGGATCCGCACGGCCTTCTCGCCCTCGCAGCTGCTGCGGCTGGAGCGCGCCTTCGAGAAGAACCACTACGTGGTGGGTGCCGAGCGGAAGCAGCTGGCCGGCAGCCTCAGCCTCTCCGAGACACAGGTAATTATCACCAGGCCGTGCCCTGCCTTGCGCCTGGCAGCCGGCGACCGAGGAGGTGGGGCGGGCGGTGCAGCGGCGGCTCTGGGCCTCGGCCTAGCCTGGCCCGGAGTTGTCTCATCCGAAAGCCATCCGTGCGGCGCTCCTGTTCTCTTAGCCCCTGCCCTCCGATTGGGCCTAGCCTGCTGACTTCAAAGAAGTGCTATGGGCCCAGCAGCAGATGCACACCGTCTATGGGAGTGGGTTCCCGGAGGCCCTCGGGAGACCCAGGGTACCGAGAGCCAGTGGGCAGCACCGGTTGTTCTGGGACTGATCTCAGCCCGGGTATCTCTGCAGCCGCTCCAGACCGGCCGGCTGCTGCGTGGGGCGCTCGCCGTTCAGCGGGGTGACCCGGCCTTCCCCGCTCTGGCTGCGCTGCTGTTCATGGGCAAAGCTAGCGGGGCCTCAGCTGCCAGCAAGTAGTGTAGGGGAAGAAAGCCCAGGCGTCCCAGGCTACCGGCGTCGGAAGCTGAAGGACTGAGCCAGGGAGAGACCAGCCCCTGTTTGGGGTCTGAGAATGGCACTGGCCCCGGCATGGACTAGGAATCTGGGGACTGTAGTGTGTGCACAGGAGCCTCTGGGAGGGTGCCGGAGGGTGGAGAAGTAGGCCCTGTACTAGAGGTGCTCTATCATGCCAAGACTGGTGGGGGGATAAACCCCAGAGGGGTTGTCGGGGCTTGAACTGGCTGAGATTACAATTACTGCATAGCATGTTTATAATTGATAGTAAAAAAAATTTGAAGTAAATGGGTGCTATAAGAAGGCAGACTGGTTCTTTGTAAGCTCTTTCCCATAAATAAATGCTGCCTGAAAGCAGCATCTAAACTCTTGGTCTGCCCAGGCGGTGTGCTGGTTTGGCCCTCAGTCCAGGTGCTGCCTGGGAGGTGGGGTTTAGTGTCTGGAAAGGCCTTGGGTCCCTACCAGCTACATTTGTGGGTGAGAATGGTGACTTCCAAGCTCAACGGTTCTCACCCCACTGGCATTTCATCTTTTGCTGCCCTTTCTAGCTCCCTACTAAATCACCACCACCTCCTCTCCCACCCCAGCCCCGTGGGAAGGCCCCCACTTGGGCAGGCAGCCTGGGGCCTCCCACTGGCAGGGAGGGTAGGAAATAACCTGTTGGGGGAGCTGGAGAACCTAACCAGGACCCCCGCTTTCCGGCCCAATCTGGCCCTCTGGTCCTGGCATTTTGGCATCCACTGCAGTGTGGATCTGATGCCCCACTTAACAGTCAGTGCGTGGCTCCCGGCTCCACCGCAAGACCTGTGAGCTTTCAGAATTGCTCCTGGGCTGTTTTGCTGCAGAGAAAAATCTCCCAAAGCAACAGTGTGAATTTTTAAAAATGTTTTAAAAGAGAGCTATGTTTAAAAGATAAATTAATAACACCTCATCTCACTCCTGGCAAGCAGTTTTAAAAAATTATTGTTTAAAACAAGGTGTCAACTTTAAAATGGTGTTTATAATTAACTTCATTTAAAAAGTAATATTTATTAAATTTTAATTGCGGAAATGTAAGAAAACAAAACAGTTTGTAATCCCACCACTCACAGATTAGCTCTTGTTGAAATAATGCCATTGTTTTTAAACTTTCCAATTTTTAGCTCAGTGAGAGCATTTTTAATTAACTTTCTTTCGAACTGAATGTAGCAGCCTATCAATATTTGTGGCTCACAATGTCAGTTAGTAAATGGACTGTTTCCTTTATTTTTATTGAGATGTTTCAGACATATATTTAAGATAAAACCAGACAGAATAAAGTAATGTATCCAGCTTTATTATCAGAACTCATGGCCTATCTTGTTACCTCTGTAAAACAAGCTGATGTTTGTGTAGGAACAACAGCAAAAAAATGATAGAACTAGGAGGTTTGAGCATGAGGAATTTCATGGTGGCCACATCTCTTTCCAGGGGAGGATCCTAAAACAGAGATGGACTGAGGACTGCCCTTGCCACACAGCAGGCAGACATGACTTCAGACCTCCCTACTAACTAACTGTGTGACCTTCAACAAGGCACTGGACCTCTCCGAGATCTGGTTTTCCATTCAGATTGGTCTTGCAAAGATTAGAGGCACCTAATAAAAACTCAAATAATATTAATCCGTATTCCCAGCCCCTTTCCTCCCTTTGTTTAAAGAAATATGTCAGGTTAATGGTCTAATAAGGACCAAACCTGGGTGTCCTGTAAGCCAGTCCTCTTCCTGTGTCATCCAGTCTCTATCATCAGAGGTGACTTTCTGTTGTCCTCATAACTTATCATTTGACCTAGGCTGCGTCATTAACTAATTATCTATCCACCTCTCAGTATTTACCAGGCAAACCTAGCTGTCATTTTCAGCTATCAGCTATTTATCAAACGTCAGATACTCCCATCAGCTTCCTGCTATATATTTCTGCTGTGAGTAACTACATTTGTAGCTCAGAGCTCTCTAATCTGCTCATGGATAGCTGTTTTATATCTATCCATCTACATCTGTTAATTTATAAATTATTTCCTATGTTCCTATTAATCACATGTTTTTCTTCCTAACAGTAACCACTATTTACCCATCTGTTGATTATCTCTTTTGTTTCATCTTCTGTGTCTATCCATCCCAAACTTCCATCTAAATAGAACTATTAGTAACTGGCAGCGTATTCATATGGAAGCTGATGGTTATCTTCCATCCCATGGGCTATGGCTCTGTCTTCTCCCTGGGCCTCAGTCAGGGTATCTGTGCCACTGAGTGAAATGAATCCCAAGGTTCTCTCCAGCCCTTAGTTTCTGTGGCTCATTTATATTCTACTTCTCTGTAACTCTAAATAATCCCTCCTCCACATTCTCAGAGCTCACAGTATATTCCCTACAATCATAATATGCATCTCATTGTGATGTTATTACTTTCTTAATTATCTTTCATGTCCAAATATCAGTCTATAGCTCAGCTGCATGCATCTCATAGGGAGATCTTAAAATAAAGATTCCCAGGCCTCACCTAAGAGATTCTCTTAGAGGGTACAAGATAGAGCCCAGGAGAAAGTTTTTAAAACAGCCCTCTGGATGATTCTGAGGAACAATAGGCTTGAGCATCTTGGCTGTGGGAAGCAGAGGCCAAGCCTATCTGTTTCTCACAGGGCTGGGCTCAGTTCCCAGCATGGAATAGATGCTCAATAAACTTGTATTGAATGAATAGATACATTTCTTTGACTCCACACATGTGAATGTTATGTCATTCCTCTTGCTGCATATTGTCACTGTTCACACCACCACCACCCCCGTTGCTCTATTTCCCTTTTCCTTGCACTTTTATAGCTGATTGTTGATTCAGATACTAGAAACACTGGTTTGTGGATAAAACTTCTGGGAAGGTTAAGCAGTGAGAGTGTGGTGTGCTCCCAGAGATTCAGTGCCAGATGCTGGGAGGTGGACAGACTATGCTATTGCGTGGTTGGTATAGGGCTTTATGTTTAGCCAGGAGTAGGGAATTTGTCCTGGGATGGTCAGTGGGTCAACTTGGGAAATGGAAGGAAAGTCCCAAGAAAGAGTTAGTTTTCCTTCTGGCCCAATTATTTTGCTCCTCACTGCCGTGGCATAGCCATTGTGTCAGGAAGGGCACCCATCTAAGCTTTAGTCTTACAGACTTGTTGAACAGACTAAGTCCTGGGTCAGATCAGAGACTTAAGTATAGTGAGTGTGTGTATATGTGCGTGTGTGTGTGTGTGTGTGTATGTATGTGATGAATATAAAGCACGTTGGCTTACTGTAATTGATGCCCAAAGGTCAGATGATATTACATCAGATGCCATACAATGTCCATGCCACTTGCATGCTTCTATGTATATGTATGTGTTCATGTGAGGGGATACATTAGTTTTAACAGGAATGAAAGAATGTAAATGCTCCTGGCTGATCAGCTGGTCAGTGTTTCCAGCTGCACTTTCTGCTCTGAGCAGATCTCCTTTGACTTTGCCTAATTGTGACTTTAGCTGAGCTGTGAGGGAAAAAGGATGCAAAAACATGATCCTTAGCCTTGGAGAGTCCTCATTCAGTGGTGGAGGCTAAAGGCAGAGTATGGACATTTGTAGTACATGCAAGGATGACTGACTGGAGTCTTGAGGTCACAGCTATAGGCTGAGGGTGGTCAGTGGGCACAAAGATTCCAGGAGGCCTCTGACTTGAAAGGCTTGGAGGGATGCATAGGATTCTCAGTTAGAGGCGAGGAAGGGGAGGGTTTGAGAGAGCAGGGTGAGAAGGTGAAGTTGCTATGAAGTCCAGCTGCCATCTTGGAGCCTCAGAGCAGGGAGGAAGGTATTTGGAGGCAGGAGCATGTAGTCCGCTACTAACGGGTTTTCCCCAGAGGTATGAAAGGGAAGCTTCTAGCAGTCACTTCCTGCTCTAGAATGCTCTGTCCTTTGGAGGATGGGTGGGAGGGAGCTATCCAAGCTTCCCTGAAATTCAAGGAAGTCGAGAGACTTTTGTTATCAACATCCTGTGGTTCTGTGACCACATGTCCCTTCTCTAAGTCTTGGCTCCTCTCTTCAAGAGTTTCTGTATCTCTGATGATCCAGGAGTCCTTTGTGGTGGGGTGAGGAGGAGATAAAGAAGATTGGAGTGGCTCTAGGAGAAGCTGGGTCAAGAAACATGGTCCTGGAGAGGCTGGTGAATTTTGTGATGTCTCCCTGAGAGTGAGTGAGGGTGAGGGTCCAGGATGGGCTAGGGAAAGAGGAAATAAGAAGACATAGAAGGAGTACAGCATAATTGGTGTGGAGTTGGAGGTGACCTCAGCTTGGGGGATAAGGGTTGAGCTTAGTGTGGCATTGGGCTTGGCCTTGAGATGGGAACATTGACGTGAACAAATGAAAGGAAATGGATCCCCACGGGAGAAGGGAGGGAGGACAGCAGGCTGCGGGGTGACTTGATTGTCTAGTCTGAGGACTTTCTCTGTGTCTGAGGGTGACAGAATAAGAAGACATGCTTAAATTAAAGCAGAACAGATAACTGTAGAACATAAGGAGAAGCTCCCTATGTCAGTTACAAGATCTTGATAAGGAGATCTGAACTCCTTAGGAAGGTATTCCCTTAAAAATATGCAGGGGTGAGGTTGAGGGAGTGATGAAAAAGAAGGGATCTAGACTTCCTTCATTCAGAACAGCACATTATTCCAAAGTAAAATGTGATGTGCTCTAAGGTATTGGGTGGAGCTGGAGATTGTTTGTTTATTGGCTAATTTGTGCATTTACTCCTACATTAATATACACATGCCTTCATTTATAGTGCATACACTGACCAGTCCTTTAAAGAAGTAATATGTTCATTCATTCACTGTAGTTTCATCTCCTTCATCTTGTCTCACTCAAGCTGAGCTTTGCTCCTGTCAACAATAGCTTTCCCTCCCATTCCTTCAAGAAGTGGTAATCCAGTCTACCACACAGAATTAAGAATTGACTCACTTGTGAAAGCATTCCCTAAAATAAGCCCCCCAAAAAAGGCTCTGATCTCTCCAACACTCAGCACCTCCCATAACCCTTTTCTGATTAGTTTTCAGTTCCTCTTCTGTTGATTTCTTCCTATTTTCCAGGTCTGATCCTGTCGTCTTTTCTCTAAAGCACAGGGTTAGGTCACCTCACCTTGGCCAGTAGATGACCGTATGTGGGAGAGCTCTGCTGGGCTGGGCCCTCGGATAGTCCTGCTGTCTGGGAACATCTGAGCAGGATCTTAAAGTATTCCAAGTTTGGGAACTTGGGCAAAAGTGGGAAGTCTTGAAAGGATCTGGCTTCACTAAGAACTTGAGAGATACTTGGTGAAGTGAGGATTTAAGGGAGCACAGAGAATCTCTCTCCAAGTCTAGAGGCATTAAGTCGATTGAGGGGATGCCCAGCTAACATTCTGTCTGTGCTTTTGGGACTGAGAGAGAGGTGGGTAGTGTGTTAGTGCTGGGATGGGGAGGCACACACAGAATGGGTACAGCCTGTCAAGGCCAGTTCCTATGGAGCTGGTGGCCACAACATACGACCTGCTTTCCTTCTAGGTTCACTCTTCTCCATAGATGACTCCAGAGTTGCCCTGCTGAGTGAAAATGTTATATCACTGTCATCTATTATACGCAGAGCTCATTTCCTTTTTTATTTCCAAGCAGAAGTAGCCATTGCTGAGTATGGTGGCACATGCTGGTAATCTCAGGTTGTGAGGCTGAGGCAGGAGGATTGCAAATTCAAGACCAACTTGGGAAACCAAGTGAGACCCTGTTTTAAAATAAAACTTTTAAAAGCTGGGAGTATAACTTAGTGGTAAAGTACTTGTCTGGCATGTGCAAGGCCCTATGTTCAATCCCCAGCACCACACGTATATGTAAGAAAAACTATTCTTAATAATGCATTAAAGAAAATTCATAAAAGTAGAAAGAAAAAAGAAAAGTCATTCATAGTTTGGGAACATTTTTTTCTTTTTTCCCTATGCATAGATTGTGTTTTCTTTTTTTTTTTTTTTTTTTTTTTTTTTTTTTTTTTTGGTTTTTCTCCGGTACCGGGAACGGAACTCACGACCTTGCGCTTGCCAGGCAGGCGCTTTTGCCGCTGAGCTAAATCCCCAGCCCCTTAGATTGTGTTTTCTATGGTTGTGACCACACTGTGCCAATGCTGTGCATCCTGGCTTTGTCACTAACATTGTGAAGTCATAAGCATCCCCTGTTACTAGCCTTTGTAAACAGCATCTGGACACTCAGCCCAAGGCTATTCTCCAGAAGATGCCAAGCTGCCTCGGGAAAGGGTTGTATCCTTGTTTCTAGAGAGCTGCCTCCTTGACCGCAATATTTCCATGGAGAAAATGGTGTGCATCATCTTTTACTTGGTATGCCAGGAAGCTGCCTCTGGGCTGAGAACATATCCTGTACCTGCAGTTCTACCATGGGTGCTTTACTTCTTTGAATCAGGATTGCTGAGCAAGGGTAGTATTCTGGGTCCATCTTGCTAGAGGCCAGTATGAATGTCAGGTCGCCTTCACAGAAGACTTGGTAGTGTGTGTAGGAGGGAGAAAGGTACAAGGAGGAACCCTCTGTCCCTGAGATTGTCCACCATCACCTGGGGTTCTCCTGTGGCCGGCCCACTTGGGCTTCTTAGAAATGACACCCCAGCCCTGCATCCAACCCTGAGTCATGCACAGGAGGCAGGGTGAGATCACCCACCCACCCACTAGCTGGCACAGTCACAGCAGGCTGTGGGGATGAAGGCAGGGGCCGGGATGGCTGCCAAATGGTTGTGCTGAGAACCATCCATGCCCAGCCCTATGCCCAATAATAGGTGGGCATGGAATTCAGATGCCCTGTGTCCAGAGCATCTGCCTCCTTCCCGTGCATACCTGAGGTGAGAGACACAGGCTACGGGTATGTACCATGCCCTGGAAATGAAGGACGAAACCCCAGGTCCTCATTCCATCCATTTAGCAAGGAATCCTGTCTCTTTCTGGGCCAGCTTCCCTCTCCATGGCTGGCTCTGGTGTCCCTACCCTAGTGCTCTAAAATCAACTTGCCAGGCAGATGGCGTAGTGGAATCCTGATGGTGCAGTGGGGGATTATGAGGGGGAAACTGAGCAAGACTTAATGGAGAGGACAGAGAGGAGTAGCTGATGGTGTGTGAGGTGGCTTATCCACCTTGGCCCGTGAAACCATACCAAGCATGAGTGTTCCTTCATGTCTGCTCTCTGCTTTGCTGCTGCTGCAGGGACCTGGATTCTAGGCCTGCCTCTGGCTGTACTGCCTGACTTTGTGGCTAAGGCCTGTGCTTGACCCAGGGGCTACACTGGGCAGCCTTTCTAAGAGCTTCCCTGAGCTCTGCCCAAGGTCCAAGATCGTTCCTCAAAGGTACCACTGCTGCAAAGACTAAGGTGCCCACGACCACTCAACCCCCCCAGCTCACTGCATGTTGTCTGCACAGCTGCGGCGGGCAGCACCAGGCAGCACCCACCTGCTTTTCAGTGAGTTAACATTTTCAGGGAACTGTCTGTGCCTGGCAACCTGATCTCCCTGCATGCCCCCTGGGCACACTCTGGAGCCTCCATCCAGGAGGTATCCTGGAGCTGCAAGGGTTCCAAACACATTTCTCCTGTGGATGAGGGACTTAAGCCCAGAGAAGGGAAGAGACAGCCAAGGTAGGTACCCAGCTCCCTTTTCCAACTCTGAGTATGGCTTGGGTCTGGCCTGAATAAACACTGGCAGAGGAAGAGAGGGATAATTAGAGATGGGTCTATGGTTGGGAAGGCTTCCCTGGAGAAGTTCAGAATCACAAGTCTGCCCCTCTGCCATCAAGGAAGATGTTTGTCGAGCCTCTGTTTGAACCCCAACCTTCGTACCGTCAGGGGTTTCGCTGCCTGACACAGAAGGGGGCAGGGCTCACTGTGTTCAACTAGGAGCTTGATTTTGTTCCTCAGGATTTCTTCTGTGGCCTGTTCCCACATGTGGATGAGCCACACGGACCAGTGCTATGTGCACAGGCAGTCTAGAGCTGCCTCTGAAGGACAGAGCAGTGCTCTGAGGTGGGGCCTCAGATATACCTCCTCCCCATGCTGTCTGTCCAAGAAGGACAAGAGTTTGCTGAGGAGCTGACACCCAAGGAACAGGGCTCCCTGCTGCCCGATTGATGTGGGGTAGGGGAATTCCACATGGTGCAGCTCATACCGGGCCCTCTGATGAAGGACACTGACAACATGCAGGTCAGAGCCTCCAGGGGTGGTTCTGGGACACCTAGGAGTGGTGTGGTTGCTCCAGGGCCTGCTCTTGGTATGGATACCACCTCCTGGTGATAAAGCCATGTCTACTGTTTTTGTGCAGCAAAGAGTATGGGGATAGCCCAGGGACAGGGCTACTTTAGGCTCCCTGGGAACTCACCTGTGCCTTGTCACATGTTCTTGCATTTACTGTTCACTCAACCCTGCAAAGGAGCAATTATTATGTCTTCTCTAGAACCTGTGGAGCGGCAGTCTTCTCTGCTCTTTCACGTCTGCTCTCTGCTTTGCTGTGGCTGCAGGAACCAGGATGCTCGGCAGCTCCAAGGCCCCCTCCCTCACCTTTGCTTGAGAAGGGCAGGAAAACCATCCCTCCCTCTGGGTCCTCTTCCTGCCCCATGTCACTTGCATCTGGAAGAGCAGTTCTCTAGGCCCATCCTGCGGCAACTGGCTGGAGGAGGGGGCCTTCGCCCTGCACAACCTCAGTTTCCTCATCTCGTCCCCAGCTCACCCCAAGTGCTGAGGTCCCTCTGGCTGCCCTGGGGCCTCGTGGGTGTTTCTCACCTGTGCCCCCTCCCTCCCTGGCTCAGGTGAAGGTGTGGTTCCAGAACCGGAGGACGAAGTACAAACGGCAGAAGCTGGAGGAAGAAGGACCAGAGTCTGAGCAGAAGAAGAAAGGCTCGCACCACATCAACCGGTGGCGCATTGCCACGAAGCAGGCCAACGGAGAGGACATCGACGTCACCTCTAATGACTAGGGGAGCAACTATGAACCCACAAGGGCAGAGTGCTGCTTGCTGCTGGCCAGGCCCCTGGGGGGCCCAAGCTGGACTCTGGTCACTCCCTGGCCAGGCTACAGGGAGGCCTCAGGTCACAGCCCCGCAGGGCTTGGAGCCTGAGGCCACCACCAGCAGAAGGACAGGAAATGGGCCGGCTGAGGCCTGGGACTGCTTGGCCTTATCCATGGAGAGCCTGCCTGCCTGGGCAGGCCGCCTGTCACTGCAGCCTCCCAGCCGCTCTCCATTTCTCTTCTCTTCCTTTTGTTTTGATGCATTTCAGTTTTAATTTATTTTCCAGGCACCCGCTGTAGTTCTTAGTGATCCCCTTGTGTCTCCCTTCCCTATGGGAATAATAAAAGTCTCTCTCTTAATGACATAGGCATCCAGCTCCAACCCTGGAGGCTGGGGTGGTGGGTTTGAGCTCTGGGGCCTGTGAGGGCTGGTACGCAAGTGTGTTCAGGGACTGGTGCCTGGGTGGGGCAAGGTCAATCCACTGACTCCTCTCCTTTGGGTGATGGTCAACACTGGTCTCTTAACTCCAGCTCAGAAGCAGGAGAAACTGAGATTAGACATAGGGCAGGACCACCTGGCATTTTGAGGGAGGCTAGGTCCAGGTCTTTCCAAACTCATTGAGGGGTGACAGTCAAGTGAGGGAGCTCTAGGGGGAGGGAGAGGGCCTCAAGTGGCTACTTCAGTTGAGCAGAAACCAGAGGGAAGGTGTAGTGGTATCACCAAGGCTAAGTCCTGGCCCCACCAGGCCATTCACCTGTCCTTGGAGGACCCCTGGGCAAGGTAGAGCTCCCAAGACAGGGCTTGAGGCTGAGCCTGCACAAGTCCCCAGGGATTTCTGGCCCAAGAAATAGTGACAAGGCAGGGCCCTGTGGTCCCTTGTTCACTTGTCTTTCAGTTTGTCCATTTGTCCCCTCCACTGGTCATATAAGATTTTCTGCATCCTGGAAAAGCAAAACCTGTGTTCCTAATAGTCTTGTCTTTCCTACTTGAGAACCGCCTCCACTTCACTTCTCATGAAGTGCAATGCTGTGTTCTTTGGCCTCTGCTCCAGCTGTCTGCTGATGCTAATGACAGTCACTGGCCTCCTATCCAGACTCACCTGGCCTCTGGTCTGCTGGCCAAGCCCTCCTTGCCTCCTGCCCCTCTGCCTTCATTCTGTACCTCAGACACCTACTTTGGCCTCTCTCAAAGCTCCTTGGCTTCATCCATGCATCATTTGCCTTTGCCCACCCTGGTTAGTCTTTATTCCTCCTGCCTCCCCATCGTGCCTCTGCCAGGGTTCACGTCTACTTCGCAAGACTCCCCTGTGGCTCCCTTGTCTGTATCTCTAGGTAACCTCTGCTGAGCCTGCTGCACCCCACACCCCTCAGCACCATCAGCCCAGCACATTCACTGCTGGGCTCCTTTCCCTACTGCCCTCCAGGACTGCCCACCCCAGCCAACAGCCTTCCTCAGGCTTCCTGCTCTCCCCCAGCCCATTCATCCCCTGCCAGCCTACTGATCCTAGGCTGATTCTCAGTCACACTGCCTCAGTGCAGCACCCCTCAGCTGTCCCTGCCCTCAGCCAGGCAGGTCTGTTCCCCTCAGGGGAATGTGACATCTTGTGGCTTCTGTGAATGTCTAGGTTGAATACCATTTCAGGGGAGGCGGTTCATGCTGCAGCTAGGGTTCTCTTCCTCACACTCAAATAGGATCTTGTCCCGGTCTTCCTCAACCCTTCACCTCCTCCACTTCTTTCCCATCCTCTGCCTCTCCCACCTTCTTTCTGGTACCCTCTGCTTCAGTCTCACCCATATCAGTCCCTGATTGATCCAGGGCTCTTTGCTGCGCTGTGCCTTCGTTTATGCTGTTCTTCCCCCCTGGGCTGTAGGTGAGCACACCAAGGGTGCTGGATCCTCCTGAAACATGCTGGAAAGATCTCAAAGGCCCAGCCATGTTAGCTGGGCCACACGCAGAGATCCGAGCACATCAGTCCTTGTGTGAGACCCCAGATCTAGGTCCCACAGGCCTGTTGGAGTCACTCTCTACTCACCTGTGTCCAGTCAATGCTAGAAACCAAAGGGCTTTGCCCCATCCTTCTGTCTCTGACCTATTTCCACTTACCAGGAATGCGTCCCTCACATCTGGAAAACCCTCACCTGGATAAGTGCAGATTAAACCACAAGGTGACTCTGTCACTGCCAAGCAGGTGGGGTGAGCTCTGGGGGAGGTGCACTCACACTTAGGGTGAGGGCAAGAAGAGGCGCCTTTTGGTCCCAGTGGGGGACAGGGGAATGGATGAGCCACTCCTCTCTAGATCCTGTCTGCTTGGTCGGGGGAAGGGTCCAGGAAGATCATAGCAGAGCACCTCCTCGTGCAGATAAAGGGCTGGAAAGGACCTGGGGGAAACCTGCCAATCTCCCCAGCCAGGCCTGTGGGGCGGGGCGGGGAGTCCCCGCTGCAGTCCCATCCATCCCCCATGTTGTGCCTCTCCCGCAGACGGTAAATATTGGTGTTGTGACTTCATTAATAAAGGCTTCTGTGAGCCTGAAAAACATGGAATCAGGATGAACTATTTTCTGAGCTGCGGGCTTGCCAGGTTTGCTAATTTGGGAGTTTTTGGGCCCTCTCCAGGGAACAAACCAAAGTCTCTCTTGAAGAGACGCAGATGCAGCTGAGAAGGGGAGAAGACAAGGACTGCTGCTCCCTTCCCTCCCTTGGTAGCCACTCCCACCTAGAAAGCAGGGAGGCACAGGGCGAGGTGGACAGTGGACATTGGCCTGCTGGCTTCCCCAGTGTGTGGGAGCTGCTGGCCAGCCCTTTCCTGAGGAGCCTGGTCGGCCACTTCCCCTCAGCTGGGCTGGTCTCCTGGCCCTGCAGAGTGAAGGGCTGACTGTCATGAGCACTTGTAAGAGCTCCGAGGTGCACAAGCCTGAGGTGGAGAGAGCACAGGGAATTATTCTTAACTCTTGTGGCTGAAGTCACAGGCCTTGCCTTCAGGGAAAATCTTTACACATCTTGTCCACGAAACTTTCCGGGATTGGTCCCCGTGGCCTTTGCAGCAGCACAGCGTATGCTCTTAGCGTCTCTGCATCTGTGTACCACTTTCTTGCAGGTGTGGCGATTGCTTCCCACAGGCATAGCACGGCCTTTGCCAAGTGAACTTGGCTCTGTCCAGGAGGGAGCCAGCAGGGCCCACAGGCCTCCCCTGGACCCTGCACCAGGGCAGTCTTGCTGGGGGAGGGGGTGGGGAGGCCAGCAGGCTGAGTGGTGCAGGCCCAGCCAGCTTTCCTGTCAGACGGCGCTGCCAAGGCGGAGCCAGACATCGGGAACAGGTTTAACCAATTACCCGAGCGCCCCATCTGCTGTCTGGGGTTCGTGTGAGGGTGAGTGCATGTGAGGGTGTTTGGAGTGTCTGGGCGGGCTGTGGGCGTGCGCAAAAGTGTGACTGTGTGGGTGGGTGTGGGCGTGTGGCTGTGCATGTGTGCTGTGCACGTGTGCAATGTGTGGCTGCACATCCCATGCACAGCCCCTCACTTGTCCAAGCCACCAGCTTATGGTCTTCCTGTCCCCTCCAGACCTTGCAGTCTACACCACAACCCACCCAGCACCCCAGCTTCTTTCCTGCTCTCTCCATCACCCCCACTCTCAGGGTTTATCAGCTCTGGATGGGCCCTCGCTCAAGTCACAAAGTCCTTTTTTATCAGATCACAATTCCCATTGGCCTGCTCATTGTCCCCTCTGTGATCAGTGCTGGGCCTTACAAGACCTCCTGGCCATGGTGCCCTCTATTCTCCAACATGTCCCACTAGTCCTTAATTGCACCTTCCTTGCAAAGTCTCATGCCTGCTTGGACCATTTCTGTACCTGCCCTTGCAGTCAGTCTGTGAAAACAACAGGCAAGCATGTGGGGTGGCCTCCTTCAGTGTCTGGGGCTTGGTCCCTATTGCTAAGTCCCCCCAGCCCTCCACAGGAGAGGTCTCAGAGTCTCACCATTTTCCCCAAAGCTCTTAGCAGAGGACTTCAATTTTCAGAAAGAAAAAAGACAGCTGTAGAAGGGAAGGCTTTTTTATCGTCAGTCAGAGAAGGTGGTGTCAAACAGGGCAATGGAGGTGAGCTTAATAAGGGAACGATTAATTCTTGAAACCCCCAAGGCTAGTAACAGTGGGGAGCCCACATGGCCTGCACCCAAAGAAGTGGGCATGGTGGGCAGAACTGGAGAGGATAGCTGCTTGGGCCAGCCCCCAGGCAGGAGCTGTGACCTACAGTGGAGAAAAGGCCACAGTTGGCAGGAGGGACAGAAGAACACATCCTCCAGTCTCACTCAGTCCTCCCATTTCCTGTCGGTGACTCCCTGTGTTGGAAGACAGAGAACAAGTACAGACAAGCCTCAGCAGGCAGGGAGGGATGCAGGCAGGACTGGAGGAGCCTCACCCTCGACTCCCCACCCTCACCCCACACTACCTGCCTCCAACCCATCCTCTCCACTTGCCTCCCGTTATACCCAGTGGTACAACTCCCACTTGTACCACTCTCATCTCTTGGCCCACACCTTTCTCCTGGCTGGGAGGACCCCTGACTTGGGCTCCAGATTCTGTCTGCACCCCTAGGGGCTCACTCCTGGCCTGTTTCACTCTCCTGTCTTCACAGCCTCTTCTGCCTCATGCTTCAGTCTCCCTCCTAAGTGCTTCCCTAGTCCATGTCACCCTGAAGCCATTGCCATGTCTCTGCCCAACCCGCAACCAAATCTCTTTAGAGAATTATGTTTGCCGGCATCAGTGGGAGGCCACTGACTTCCCAGCGCATGGAAACCGAGTGCCCTGACCACAGCCCCAAGACCATTCTTTCCAGGTCTTCTCATGGGATTTGCTTTGGTCTTCATCTTCCTACACTTTCAGAGCCAGTTAAGTCTGGGGAACAACTCCCACTTGTACCACTCTCATCTCTTGGCCTTCCAGAATACAACACTCTCCTTTCCCTCTTACCTCCTGTATTAGTGTACCAGGGCTGCCATCACTGAGCACCACAGCCTGGGTGGGTTTCTTCGGAGCCTCCGTCCTTCACCCGCAGAGAGCTGCCTTCACGTTTACATGCCTTCTCTTAGCATGGCCTGATCTCCTCATCTTATAAGGACACCAGCCATAAAGACCCACTCTAAGGGTCTCATTTTAACTTATTACCTCTTTAAAGTCCTTATCCCCCAATAATCGCATCCTGTATTTGAGGCTGAGACTGCAGCAGCTGAACTCTGGGATTCCATCAGTTCTCTCACAGGAACTCTGAGATCTGCGTGACCTTCCCTACAGATTTGTTCTTCCTTCTCTGTTCCTAGGCTCAGAGAAAGTGCACACCCTTCTCCCGAGCTGCCCAAGCAGGAACCTAGGGCGTCTCAGCCTCCTCCATCCCACCCTTTCTACAGTGAATTATGGACAGCTGCTCACTCCTGCGTCTCTGCTTCTCTCCACCCACGTCCCCACCATGGTGGCTCAGACCCCGTCTTCCCCATGGTGACTGCTGCAGTGGCCTCTATTTGGTCTCCTTAGCAGCCCTGCCTGTGTCCACTCTCCCCCTGCGTGGGGCAGGAGGATGCCTTTCCCCACTTTAGGCCTCAGGAGCTCACTTGCCCTTGACCTGTGGCAGCTGGTCCACAGCCCCTCCTGGGTCCTTCCCCATCCTCTAACATCCGTGAGCTTCTTGGAGCTCACCTGGTGTGGTAATGGCGGCAGTGTCCTTTCCCCTGCCACACTTGTATATGCAGAGGAAGACAGCCAGTGTCAGGTGGCCTGGGACAGATGGCAGTATTTGCATAAGTTCTCCAAGGAAGGGTCTGTACATTTGTCACCTCCTCTTTCCCCTTTTTGTTCTCTTCTTTCCATCCCTCCACTCCTCCGTTAGGCCAAGATTCTTGCTTTGGTTGAGGAGGTGTCCTTGTCAGGAAGGAGGCAGTCTCTGGCCTTAGACAAGGCTGCCAGCAGCTGCCTTGGTGCAGGGATGGAGAAAGAACACTTGTTGGCCACTGGCCTGAGGAATACTTGGTACTGAAGAGAAGGGTGGCCCTGCAGGCTTTGGGGAGTGGCTGAGAAATTACCGTTTGAGGGGTTAACCAGTGGCCCGGGTACTAGGTGAGATGGCAGGAGCAGCAGCAGCAACGCTAGGGACTGATGGGAGGCTCCATTCTGAAAATGAGTTAGGTCCTTAAGGCCTCAGGAAAGGGCCACTCATCATTGCTCTGACCCCCTTGATTTCTGGCTCTCCTAGCCTTTGCCTGAGTGGGAGGAGGGAGGCACTACTGGCCAGGCGGGTGGGGATGGCAAGCAGGGAAGACTGCATTCCTGGAGTGTTAATGATCTCTGGGCTGGGCAGGAGCTGAGCCCCCAAACAGCTAAAAACAACAAACAGCTCCCAGAAGGGATTTGTGTCTGTCCTGAGAGTCAAGGATTTCCGCCCAGATAGGGGCTGTGGCCTGTGCTCTCAGTAAATTCCCCGGAGACCAGAAGCCTGCTGGCCTGGAGGTACCACTCTGAGAACATACCCCACCCCTACCCCTTTCCTCCCTTTCTCTGTCCTACGGAGGCCCAGTGGCCAGAAGGGGAGGCAGCACCTGCACATACCTGAGGCAAGAAAGGAGTCTAGGTACATTCTTCATCTGGGTTCTCTGTTCTTCTAACAGGCCAGCAAGTGACATAAGGACCTCAAGGCCCAGTTATAAAAGTGCCCCACGGAGAAGTCACTCAATATCATGACTGAACGAACAGATGAATAAGGGGAGTGACTCACCTGAGGTCACTGAGTCACGCTGGGCCATGATGGGGCTGAACCAGGGTCTGACACTAACTGTAACGGTTTTCTCTGCTACTCTTCATCAGCTTCTCTCTGCAGGGCTACAAGATGCTTGGGGGCCTGTGGGAGCTGCCTGGAAGAGGAGGAGCCAGAGGTCTCAGGAGGTGGCCAAGCCCTGGCCCCAGGGGACCATGGAGGAGTTAGGAAAGCAGAATTCCCAGGACTGGGACCACACACTTGGCAGACATCAGCACCTTTCCGCTGGACTTAGACCTTCCCCGCTCTGAAACTTCTCCAGGTCACAGGCAGCCCAGAATAACATGGCTCTCCCTCCTCCAGCCTCCTCAGTGTACACAGCACAAGAGTCAGTGGAATCCTCATGTACTGGTTCCTTGAATTGGGTACCCTAGTGAGCACTCAGGAGCAACTCTGTAAGGGGATCCTCTGGCAGGTGAAACATACCCGCTTTGTCCAGCTTCTTACCTTCACATGCTGTCCTGTCCTGCATTTTCCTCTTCCCTCTGACCTTGCCCATCCTGGGCATAGCTCAACACCTTCCTGGGGGCCTTTCTATAAAACCCTCACTCTCCCCCATTGTGCTTCCATACTCCCACCTCTCCCAGCATGATTCACAAAGCCACGCTCTGATGCTTTAAATCCTTTGTTTATTGCCCACAGCTCGTTAGTATTACATAAATCACATAGATTGAGAAATTTCTTGAGAAGGTTAAAAAGACATTGTAAAGTCACCTGGGTGTGCCAAGGCCTGTGGGTTGGGGCCTCACTCATCCCTGCCTAAAGCTGAGAGGCCACTTAGGATCTTCCCCTTGTGCTCTTCTCCTCGGGACCCGACCTTTTCCCAGGCCAGAGGCTCCGAACAGGAAACAAGCCAGCGCACAATCAGGAAGGGAACAGGGCCTGGCGGCCATCTTGACATCTTTGACTTTTGGAGCTTATACTCTCCAATTGCTTTTTGGGAATAGGAGAAGGGCATCCCCAGGACTGAAGGAATGTTTGAAATGACCAGAAGAGGGTTGGCCAGGAAAATGTTGGCCTCCTCTCCAATCATGAACCAATCTACCTCTCTCCTCTGGCCTTAGCGGAGATGAGCATGGGCATTAGCAGCAAGTTTCCCTTTATGGGGTTTTCTAAGGCCAGACCAGGGCTTGGTAGCATGGCTCACTGAACCCCTTGTCACATCACGCTGAGCTACAAGGATCCTTTTCTAATGTACCTCTCTACAAAGCAACCCCTTAGCTCACCTGGAATTATATTTGAGAGCATGACAAAAATCATTTGGAGACAAACCAGATAGCTTATGAGATGCCGAGGCCACGGTGGAGGGGCAGGTGAGGCTGGGCTGGGGCAGCCAGCATGGAGCAGGAGTACAAGGGACAGTTAAGGGTAGGGGGGACGTTTGGGCCCAAGATAAAGTGCACAAGAACAAAACCCTATGACAAGAGGGAGCAGGGTGAGCTTGAAATGAGCTTTTCCAAAGAGGACTCAGTTTCCAGTCCAGGCCTAGCGACCAGCACAGCTAGCAGTCATTGGCACATTCATACTATGGTGCGGCTGGCTCAAAACTGCCCCCTCCAACTTTCTGGCCCCTTCTCCCCTGCTGATTTGTCTTCCATGCCAATCTACATCTCTCCCTGATGAGCTAGGGGTGGGCTGCTCCTCCAGAGTGTGGCAGATCCTCAGGACAACATCCCGCACAGCCAGCTGCTGGCCACCAAGGGTGCGTGTGTCAGTGCCATGGAAGACCCATCTCACCACAACGACATGTCCCTAGAGATGTGGAGAGACTGTCAGGGGCCACATTTTTGCTGCTCACACATGCCTTTCCCTGCACACACATGTTCACCTCTGGCCTAGATCCCTCTCAAGGCCACCAGGAGAGGGAGGCCCAGGGGCTGCATGTTGAGAGGGCCTATCCTAGTGGGAGTCAGGTGAGGAGTACATCAAGGCCATGATTCCCCTTTTTTTGGGCCTTTTAGATGCAGAGTCACCCTGTCTCCCACTTCCTTCTCTTCCTCCCTTGCCTGCAAATGGGAGGAAGAACCAGCAGCAAGGGCACTCTGAACCTGCAGAAGTGAGAGGCAGATACAGTGGTGGGCCCCTGCTCAGCAAAGGCATTCACGCTATCGCCTCCTCCAGGACAGTGAAACGTTTGGCAAAGGTCCAGGGCTCCTGGGATGCGGGCTCAGATGAAGAAGGGCACAGTCCAGGTTCTGAGGCCAACTGCTGGCCAATCCCCAAGGGGCCTGCTCCTTTCCCAGGCCAGTGTCCACGTTGAGGATATGCCTGAGATGACCAGCATCTGAGCAGAACAGGCAAAGATGAACTGGAAGAGTGGTGGGAAACACCTGATCCAGTATTTTGCTTCTGGGCAGGGAGTGCAGGATCAGAGAAGGGAGCGGACTGCCCAAGGCCACATAGCCTGTTAGTGCCAGAACAAAGCCCACCATTTCTGGATTGATGCTGCCTCTCAGGTCGTAGGGATCTCGCCTTGGCACCCTCAGGTGTGAGACACTCCTGCTCAGAAAGGGACGGATGAGGCAGGCAGGTTCCATGGCTGGAGACTCTCTGGACAGCAGTCAGCCCAGCTCCAGCCCACCCTCAGCCCAGTGCCCAGCCTGCACTTGAAAGAGGATCTTCCTGCAGAGGCCAGCATAGGTGCATGATTCTTGCCAAAATTCATTCTTTCTTGGGACTGTCTTCCTGGAGCTGGAGCCTCAGGGGCCAAAAATCAGTGAACGCTCCACAAAGGCAGGCCTCAGCCCCGTATCACTGTGCTTCACTCAGGAACTGGTTCCACAGCTGAGGCATGGGCGAAGGCTGGCCACATTCAGAGCCTGCCAGGGCTTCTTGACTCCCTTGAGCTAATTCTTGAGGACTTTGTCATGATTAGTTCATTCTGTGGCGTGCAGACCACCTCCCTTCCCTTCCTCACTCTGGTTTGGCCACCCAAACATCCTAAATCTACCAACTAGGCCACCAAACCAACCCAGCTCCCAGGCCTACTGTGGTTCCCAACACCTGTGTGCCTGCCACTTCTGGTCTGCTTCAACCAAGGCTCAGACTTGATTCTGATTTTTAAAAAAAAAGAAAAAAAGAAAGAAAAAAAGTAGAAGAGAATCCTATGTCTACCCCATGGGCATTCCTACTTTTACAGCTTCACACATAATTGTGCTGAGTGGAGTTCTGACAACCCCACGTAAGGCCCAGAAATGCACTTGATGCTTTTATATAGGAAATGTGTCAGAATTCCTCTCCCCTACCTATGTTAAAAGGTGAATGGGTTAGTCTCCTACCACTGTGGGTTGAGTGCTCCCCAGGTGGCCCAGGCCTGGTGGGGTCCAGCCTGCCCCTCCCTGCAGGTGCAGCCTGTGTGACTCCGTCCTGCCTCCAACTCTTCGCTGGCCTGGACATTGTGCTGTCCCCAGGCCGGCCAACCACCACTCACAGCCCCTTGTTGTACACCACTGTCCGGCTGCTCGTGGCCCGGGCAATTTCAGGTTCTAACTGGGATGTTTCAATCTGAGGAGAGAGAACAGAGAGGAGAAAGGTAGAGTAGGAAATGGGTACTGGAGCAGCAGTCAGGACGACTCTGGTGGCCATAGTTCTGCCTCTCTGCTGCCCCACACTCCCAACCAGAGCCATGTTTCCTGCCTAGTGACAACTCCCTTCTCTAGCAAGATGCCACCGCAGGACTCAGTGTCTCTGCCAGCCCACATCTGGTCTCTTTCTTCTCACAGTGCATCTGTGTGGGTGAACATCCTACACTCTGCCCTCTGAATTCTAGGTCTCCTTCATCTCTGGGGCCCTTTTTCCCCCTCCTAGGACAGCCCCCTAGACCTGCCAGGCCCCACCCTCATGGTCCCCACAGTCCCTCATAGCAGCACCCCAGTCTCTGCTGCTCCTCTCCATGTTTAGACTATTGAGACTGCAGACTCCAGGTTCCCCTTCACTTAGACTTCACCTCCTTCCTCCAACCCAGACCCAGGGACCAGCACTTTAGCTTCTCCCTAGCCGAAGGGTCCTTCCAGGCCTGAGTGATGGACGCCCTGCTTTGGAGGCCTCCAACCATGCATCCATCATTTCTGCACTTAAACATGACCACCCATTGCAGACCATTCAAAATTCACTGTCCTTGACTCTGGCTGGACCCTCACAGCAGCTGGCAATGGCATCACCCCACTCCACTGCCCACTCAGCTCCCTCTTCCTCTCTCCATAGAAGCCATCCTAACCTTTCTCTGCTCATCCTAACCACTCTGCCTTCAGCTCTCCACTCCTAAGCCCATGAACCTTCTTACTTCAGGGAAAAAAGCAGAAAGCACCAGAGGGGAGGCATCCAGCTCCCCACGGCCTCCCTGTGCCCACCTGTACCCCCAGCAGCCATCCTTCCCCTTGAAAAGCAGCAGCAGAGTCTCCAGCTCCCCCACAGCCTGGGTAGTAGCTCCCTCTGATTCCCTCCTCTTCCCACTTTGGCTGTCCACTGACTTCTGCTCATCAGTGTCCTTGATAAGAACTTTTGGTCTGAGGATCCTGACCCTCCACCCTATGGCAGGCTTTATCACCGCCTCATCTCTCTCCTCCGCAGCAACATCTTTTTAAGGATTGTCCAGCCTGGTTGTGTTCACCTCCTCACCTCCCACTGACTTTCCAACCCACAGCAAATCTGGCTTCTTCTGTTCCCATGGCCCTCTACAAAAATCTTCCTCTGCAAGGTCACTGTCACTCATTTCACAACATCCGCCAATTGCTTCTCAGGGTGCTTTGCGCTTGCTCTAGCTGGGCCCTCTGGGTTCCCACATCTGAGGTGTTTCCAGCCACAGCTGTCCCCTTTCTTGGGGAAATGTATCACAACCCAATAACATTCTGGTGGA